GGCCGCAAGCACCCCTAGATCCTTGTTGCCCAGATTATTCCTGATACAAGCCAGGATGCCGTTGGCCTTCTTGGCCACCTGGGCACGCTGCTGGCTCATGTTCAGCGGGCTGTCAACCAACACCCCAAGGCACCAGGCAGCTTTCCAGTCACTCTTCCCCAAGCCTGTAGATTGTTGTGACCAAAGTGCAGGACCTGGCATTTGGCCTTGCTGAACCTCATACAATTGGCCTCAGCCCATTGATCCAGTCTGTCTAGATCCCTCTGCAGAGGGACACTCCCACACAACTTGGTGTCATTTGTAAACTTACTGAGGAAGCACTCAATCCTTTCATCCAGATCATTGATAAAGATGTTAAACAAGACCAGACCCAAACCTGAGCCCTGGGAAATACCACTCATGACCGGCCGCTAGCTGGATTTAACTCCATTCACTGTATCAATAGCATCAGCGAAGCTATGCAAAGACTCGCTTCACATGCACTCCGACATGAGAAGGGGTAACCACAAAACAATCACAAAAAGCAAAAGAAATTATGTAAAATGTACAGAAACCTAGGGCTCTGACTAAAAAAAAGTCACATGTGATTACCAGAAGATTCATTTTAGTAATCTAAAGCACCCGTTCCTGATACCTGGAATTAATGAGCCTAACACTATTTCTGTTAGCAAACAAGTAGCAATATTTGTGCATGATTAGAGTATCTGGCATATTATTTCAAAACGTAAGAGGAAGGCAGTGAAGTTATCCAAACAGTGACAAAAAAAAGAAAAGCGCCTTGGCTTCCATTATTAATTTGGTTACTTGCCAACAAGGCTTATTTATCTATCTATGTGCTTACATAGGCTCATCGAAGTCCTCCAAAGGGTTTCAAGTGGACCTGAATTAGATTCAGATAATTAACCACTTATTCAACAGAGCTAAAACTTCCAAAATATCTAAAGAATTAATTTTTCAATAAAATTTTGACATGGGCAAAAGTCACCGAATCTTAATATCTTCTCACATATTTAAAAATGTTTTCTTATCTGAAGTTTTTAGTAGCATTTTAAATAAAATGTATGCACAGGTATTACAGTACACGTAAGAATCCCTTATAAGAGATGTGTAGTAATGTTATCATTAAAATATTTTAATGGATTCATCTGACTGTATCCAGATATGTTTTAATACTGAAAGAAGTAAGATTAAGAATGCAAAGTTCATGCTACCGTTTTAAGTTCCTCTGTGCTACTAATTCATCTGTACCACAGGGATTGCAGTACTTCTCGTTTTTACATAAGTGCTAAGGGAAAAAAAATTTACTAAGGCATATGACAAAGACTGAAAGTACATACATGAATGTCTCAGTCAGTCTTGATGCTGGTTAATAATAACAACATGTTTAAACCTCTGTTCAGTGCCACAAAGAGCACTGAAAATAGCAGAGGAAGGTTACTCTGATTAAACAGACACGACAAAACAATTTAAGTAAGTGCTAATCCACACCCATCTGCACATAAAATTCAAAAGTAAGCTCAATTAGAGGAAGTAAAAAACCAACATGATTTTTAGTAAACCTTGAAGCAAAGGTGTTCTGCAACTTTAAGCTAAAATGTGTAAAGAAACTGTTTTATTTGAGGTGGTCTTCAAGATTTGTTTTGATGAATAAAACTGTATCTGGGGTGTGGCCTAAGCCCTCTGTGTGCAGATGAGGCAGATATGGCTTGCTCTTATTTGAAGCCAAGCAGCTGTTTGCAACAGACTCACAGAAACATGGTGTCGCAATCTGTGGTTCACGTAGGTTTTCTTCTCTGATAGCGAGAAACAGATGTTCATAACATTCAAATACCAACTACAAGTTCCAGTTATCTGATAAAGTACATGTAACAGCCAGCACTGTCTCTGAATAGCTTTCCAAATGACATAAATATGTATTGCTCTGGGACAACATGGTGACATTCTTCTACTTCTGAGCATTTTTCTGGTTTTATTTTGTACTGTAGCCTTTGTACAACAGAACTATTGTATAATGGCAAACTCTCTCTCAATCTGCCTCAGAATTGTGTGATTAGGGAAATAAATCACTTAAACATTTGACTTCTAAGATTACAAATAAGTTTACAATTTTTGACATTATCAAGACCACTGAAATATGACCTCCCACACTTTTCCTGGGAAAATCATTCCTTCCGAGCAAGACAGTGTCAGAAGTCCTCGCTGTTGCAGCATCTGGACTTATCTG